TGTTTCAGATACAACTTCAGATTTTTGTTGCTCAAGTTCTCCAATGTTATTCTACAAGTGTTCAGGCATAAGTTTGACATGTAACTTCAGATTTCTGATACTCAAGTTCTCAAATTGTATTCTACAAGTGTTCATATCACAAGCTACAACTATATGCATTTTGGCACATATTTACCTCTCTGGCCGAGCGTCATCCCTCCTCAGCGCACACAGCAGCACTATTAATTAATCAGCTGCTGTGCGCACTGATCAGTGATTGCGGTGTTTTTCTGTTGAGCAGTATGAAGATGAACGAAGTAACACTGCCCACTAATCCGTTACGGATTAACGTGTTTCACAGTTTAAAGTGTTTTTTTTTCTATTGACATGCATACAAAAATTCTGTAAAAGGAAAATTTTAAATGAAACACAAAACTAACATATGTGAGCTGGGCTTTAACCCGCAATCTTTACCATCTCAGCCATACACTTAAACCACCAGACCATTAGCTCTTAGTCCCAACAACCCCATCGCAAATTCATAGCTTTGAAGCAACATGTGAGCTGGCCAACTTTATAGCAATGAATGTGAAATAGAGCCCTTTTTATTACCGTATTTTAAACTTATCACTTCCGTACAAATGTAAAACAATATATCCGACAGAGATTTCTGCAGAGTATCTGCACTTCCCTGTCAACAGAAACAGACATGCTGTCTGCCGCTGCCTTCCGACTGCAGGCTTTTTCAGACTAATAACTGAAAAACTAAAGACTGTACACGTTAACTGAACAAAGATTACAGCAATACACCACAACTTTCTCTCTACAAATGTTGTCAAAACATATTTTTATGCTCAAACAATCTTAGTTTATCAAATTTTCTCTTAGAACAGCCGCATTTCTTCATTTGCATGTGAAGGCCGATATTGCTCACTAGTTAACTAGTGCAACCGCAATACTGCCAACTAGTTAACTAGTTACACAAAATGCCAGCCAAGTGTGTATTTATTCAAAATCCACTAGTTTACTAGTTTTAGGGGCACTTTTCTGCAGCAAGTTAACTAGTGACAGTGTTTTGTGTTCACTAGTTAACATGTAATGCTCAATTTGCCCTCTATAAGCTGCTGAGAAAATTATAATGCATATATGCTCACTAGTTAACTAGTGACTCCATCCTGTCCCATTACAAGTGAACTAGAAAGGCCAAATATGTCAACTAGTTAACTAGTGAAGGTAAATTTGTCACAAGTTAACTAGTAAGAGCACATGTTTGCATTACAAGTGAACAAGATAGCTCCAAAAACAGCAACTAGTGTGCGTCTTGTGCGCACTAGTTAACTAGTGGGCTGCTGCACTGCCACACATGCAAACTAGTGAGACTTTAGTTGTTCCACTAGTTAACTAGTGGACAAAAATGGTCAGCTTGTATGTGTTTTTAGGTGTAACCAGTTAACTAGTGAGCAAAACAGGCATGCCACTAGTTAACTAGTAAGGTCTGCAACACCCTCACTAATTAACTGGTGGGCATTTTGGGGCCCACTAGTTAACTAGTGAGCAAATCCGCACCTCACTAGTTAACTAGTGAGCATATCCACACTTCACTAGTTAACTAGTGAGCATATCTGCGCCTCACTAGTTAACTAGTGAGCAAATTTGCACCTCACTAGTTAACTAGTTGGTGTTTGGGGGCCCACTATTTAACTAGTGAGCATATCTGCAACACACTAGTTAACTAGTGAGCAAATCCACACCTCACTAGTTAACTAGTTGGCATTTTGGGGCCCACTAGTGAGAATACCTGCACATCACATGTTAACTAGTGACATTTTTTGCACCTAACTAGTTAACTAGTGGGTGTTTTGGGGCACACTAGTTAACTAGTGAGCAAATCTGCACCCCACTAGTTAACTAGTGAGCATATCCGCACCTCACTAGTTAACTAATGGGCGTTTTTGGGCCCACTAGTAAACTAGTGACACTTATTTTGCACCTTACTAGTTAACTAGTGGGCATTTGTACCCTCACTAGTTAACTAGTGAGCAGTTCTGCCTTCACAAGTTTACATGTAAGTGTCACACTTAAGCCACTAGTTCACTAGCTGAGGTTCCTTTGGCCAGCATGTTAACTTGTGTGCCACATGCAAATGTTTGGGGTGGGATTTTGTGAAATTCTGCGCTGTGATTGGTTGTCATATTTTATTTGGACATAGGGAGCCAACAGAAATTCACAATTTGAGAAATTCTCCACCTCCTAATTAGTTTTCTGAAGAACTAGCTAACTAGTGTGAATGTAGGCTTGAACTAGTTTACTAGTATACATTTATGTCTTCACTAGTTACCTAGTTTGGACAAAGGATGCATAAACTAATTAACTAGTGAGCCTGCTACCAGCAACTAGCTAGCTAGTGAGCCATTTAGGGTTCTCTAGTTAACTAGTGGCATTGACTTACTCCAACTAGTTAACTAGTTAGGAGTTATGCCTTCACTAGTGAATGTGTGGACACTTTTGGCTGTCACTAGTTAACTAGTGGGACACAAAAACCTTCAACTAGCTGACTGGTATGCATTTTGGCCTTTTCTAGTTAACTAGTAAGCCATTTTTGTGTCATCTAGTTAACTAGTGAAGCCAAAATATGTTCACTAGGTAAATAGCACACATTTCTGTCTCCCACTAGTTAACTAGTGTGCACATTTTGACCCTCACTAGTTAACAAGTGAGACACAAACACCTTCAGCTAGCTGACTGGTACGCATTTTGGCCTTTACTAGTTAACTAGTGAGCCATTTCTTGTGTCAACTAGTTAACTAGTGAAGCCAAAATGTGTTCACTAGTTAACTACTGCACATGTCTGTCTCCCAATAGTTAACTAGTGTGCACAATTGACCCTCACTAGTTAACTAGTTTGGACAAAGGATGCATAAACTAAGCAACTAGTGAGCCATTTAGGGTTCTCTAGTTAACTAGTGGCATTGACTTACTCCAACTAGCTAACTAGTTAGGAGTTATGCCTTCACTAGTGAATGTGTGGACAATTTTGGCTGTCACTAGTTAACTAGTGAGACACAAAAACCTTCAACTAGCTGACTGGAATGCATTTTGGCCTTTTCTAGTTAACTAGTAAGCCATTTTTGTGCCATCTAGTTAACTAGTGAAGACAAAATATGTTCACTAGTTAACTTGTACACATTTTTGTCTCCCACCAGTTAACTAGTGTGCACATTTTGACCCTCACTAGTTAACTAGTGAGACACAAATACCTTCAGCTAGCTGACTGGTACGCATTTTGGCCTTTACTAGTCAACTAGTGAGCCATTTTTTGTGTCAACTAGTTAACTAGTGAAACCAAAATGTGTTCACTAGTTAACTAGTGCACATGTCTGTCTCCCACTAGTTAAGTAGTGTGCACATTTTGACCCTCACTAGTTAACTAGTGAGACACAAATATCTTCAGCTAGCTGACTGGTATGCATTTTGGCCTTTACTAGTTAACTAGTAAGATGTTTTTGTGTCAACAAGTTGACTAGTGAAGCCTAAATGTATTCACTAGTTAACTAGTGCGCATTTCTGCTGTCACTAGTTAACTACTGTGCCCATTTTGACCCTCACTAGTTAACTAGTGAGACACAAATACCTTCAGCTAGCTGACTGGTACGCATTTTGGCCTTTACTAGTTATTTAGTGAAGCCAAAAAGTGTTCACTAGTTAACTAGTGCACATGTCTGCTGTATCTAGTTAACTAGTGTGCACATTTTGACCCTCACTAGTTAACTAGTTGACACAAACATGGCCCTCTAGTTAACCAGTGGACAGAAATTGCTTACATGTTCATGATAATTTTGCCTGATATCCGGATATCTGAATAAATGCTCATTCGGCTTGCCATAACGGTATCATCAAGATGTGTTCTGCTAAATGGTGCGGGGAACCTCTCACACCAGTGGTGTTCTGTTACAAAATGCATGAGCGCACAATGAGTGGGAGACCCAGGTAAGTGCAGCAGTGCGGTGGTCGGTGAGGTCCAATCATTGGTTTCGTACCGAGTTGTGTCATTGGCTGAGGTTTTTAGACAAATGTAAGAGAACCTCTTCATTCTTTTATTCCTTTTTTTTCTCCACAATATATTCATAGCTATACTATGTTAGAATGTTAAGAAGCATGAAACCAACTTTTAAGCTAGCTTGTTTGGCAGATTTTCCATTGTAGCTTCAAGTTTGCCCAAAACGCAAACACAGACGAAATCTGTAAGAGTCAAACACTTTTCCACACCACATAGAAACATCCAACTGACAAATACATGTTTCTTCATCTTTATCTTTGAATTGGATCGGGGGGAAAAAAAATACAGATTATCTCCAACAAAGACTTTTCAAGCATGGCAAACTCCTGCTTTCTTTTAGCAATCCAGAATCTTCACACGTGAACAAACTTATGGCAAACAGCTGACCTGATCTGATAAAACAACATGAATCTGAACTCATAACCTTATTAAAGTCTTCTCCAGAGGTGCGATAAAACTTCGAGAACACAACCCTCATGGTGTCTGCGCTGGAATGACAAAGCAGCAGGAGATGGGACCTATTTTAATGGGACAGTTCAGCAGGTCTCATGTGGCACCAGCCAACATTCATAACATGCTGGATGTGCAGCGAGTGTGTGTGTGTGTGTTTGTGCACAGCCAAGTGTTAAATCTGACTTGATTTCAGAAGGGAGCCGAGGTCACACCAAGGCCTGTTTGGAGAACTAATAGCAGCCATGTGATTTGATGAAGACAAATCTTCCAGCCCCAAACAGGCAGGACAATCACTGGCACATCTCCTCATTCTTCCTGTTGGCCCCACTCACACAATCAAACTCCAGTTAAGCCCCGAGCAGACAAAAAGCCCGGCTTCGCCAGGACATAAATTCAGCTGTTGCCAATGTTTAACTCATCCCTTACACTGAACGAAACGGAATTGTGCCACAATAAATGAAATCTGCAAAAACCTGCACAAAGTAGGTCACAGCATTTTTCAGGGTCTTACCTTTGAAGGACAGGAAGATTCTGGGAGCTGAGAGAGGCTCGTTGGAAGGAGGCAGTCCCCCAGACGATAAGGCCAGCAGGGCCAACAGCCAGGACAGTTTGTCCCACAACATTGTCCCTCTGCTAACAAAAGAGAAGGGGTGTCCGCAGTAGCTGAGAGACAAAGACAAGCATCAAGCAATTCACAACAACTGCAAAGAGCAGAGGTATTGGTGTCCTTTTTTTAATTCACAAAAAGTGTTAGACTTGTAACTTTTCATTTTAGTTTGGAATCTCATGAAGTCATGAAGTCTGTCCTTTTGAACCAATCTGCTGTTTGGTCATCATCACCCTGCTTTTCTGCTGAATTCATCATTCTACTGCAACTCTAAAGGGGCGAATCATTCAACCTTTCCCCCCTTCTCTCTTTGCAGCTCCTCAGCTGAAACATCACAAGTATTTGTGAGAGCTGCAAATGGATGGTAATTACTTTAAAAAATGATTGCTTCTCTGTTGCACAGCGTGAGCTGAATTTCACCAATAGTGCAGTTGCTTCTTAAGCCTGGTGCGCTCTGGCAGCAGCGCTCGCAGATTAAATCACAAAGCGCATCAGCATGCTGTTATCCGCCACAAAGAGAGCTGAGATAATATCCTCATAAAAGGATCTGAAGGCTGTCCAAGTTATCAGCGTGCATGTGCGGACGAGCTGGATCAACTGCGCACTGTGGAAAAAACTTGCTCTCCGAGGAGGTTTGGAGACAATAAATCAGCTGTTGGGGAGGATTTATTTATTATTTATTTTATTTTTTTGCTGTGATCATGCATGCATGGCACTGATCTACTTGTAGGTCAGAGTTTGGGGTCAAATTGAAAGTCAGGGTTTAAGATCAATTTCCACATTGAGCCCCAGAAGGCAGCAATCCAAAGAAATGCCCCTTCACCAAAATAAAGCCGAGCTTTGGGTTTGTCAGGACGCGTGCCCGCACGTGCCATAAGCACACAATCAAGGGTTTTATCATCCAAGTTATCAGCTCAAGACTATTTATACATTTAGTTTGAAAATAATCCACAGACGTGCACGTAGAGTAAACTTCAAATGTCAGAAAATCTACAAATAGCCAACTAAACTCGCACAAAAAAAGCGCACGGCTCGTGCGTCTGGCGAGGATCCGCAACAGAATTTTGGACTGGCTCAATAAAAGAGACCCCCCCACGCGTCAGGGAGGACAACCTAAAATTTAAAATTGAATTTTAGCTCTTTGATTAGATTATTTTCAGAAACTTTAAATGTATTTCGCACACAGAACGCAAAACGCGTGCAATCGAATGCACGTCATGTCAGAAGCATTTCTATGATTTATTTGTACTTGTCAGACAACACATCACATTTGCGTTTCACCTACCCTTTTTTAGTCACGTCCGGGGAATACAGCGCTAAAGCCGGCGAACATTTATAACCATCCATCCAGATTGTTTGAGCTGCTCCGTCCGCAGGCGTATCCGCCGCAAATCCTGGCCGATTATCCCAACAAAGCTCGGATTTAATTTACCTTCACGCAGCCCTCTCAACTTCGGGTGTTCACCTAAACTGGAGCAACAGATCCCGTTATTCCCAGTGGAGGAGGTGATTTTAAAAAAGAAAACAAAAGAGTTGCTCCTGGAGACGGAGGTCGAGCCGCGCGCAAAGGAGATCCGATGTGGAGTGGAGAGGAGCGGATCCTGCAGGTGGATAGGCTGAGGTCTCTCCCCCCCCCCCCCCCCAGCTGTGGACACACCCATGGGGGAGGGAACCTACCTTACATACTCCCATCATTCCTCCCAAAAAAGATTCTGATTCAACAAAATGACTTTTCTCTTCATCTTCATTCCGACATCCCGCCTCGCTGAGTTGCCAAATCAAATCTGCATCCATCACAAGGCCACCTGCAATTATACCTTCAGGAAAAATAAAACGGAAGCGGTTCCACGAAAACATTAAGCGATTTATTGTGTTTGCATCCGGAATCTCACAGTCTGCGTTTGGCAGTTAGTATCAAACCACATTTTCCATAATGTGCGTGTGTGTGTGTGCGTGCGTGCGTGCGTGCGTGTGTGTGTGTGTGTGTGTGTGTGTGTGTGTGTGTGTGTGTGTGCGCGTGTGTGTGTGTGTGTGTGTGTGTGTGTGTGTGTGTGTGTGTGTGTGTGTGTGTGTGTGTGTGTGTGTGAATGACTGGTTGTTCGTCACCAAAACATTTCAGCTGCTCATAAAAACTGAAATAAAACCTGTGGCTTCAGACAAAAGATCTGATTAGGATAAATTGAAAATAGGAGATTCCTGCTTAAAAACACTGCAGAGCAGAAGAATTGTGGGAATTTGTGGATAATCTGTGGAAGAGTTTCAGAGGAACCACTGGAGGTTTGTTTTACCAGTGGAGAAGGATCAGACTGAGGTCAGTTCACAGCTTTAATTAGCTGCAGTGATCACCAGCTGCTGAGTGTGTGAAGTCTGAGCTGAGCAATTATTTGTATCAGCTTGGTTTGCAGATATGAAGCTTTTTGTTTTAAATATCATTCGATTGAGAGAAATCAAGAGTTGAAAAAGGGCCAGAAGCAGATAAGAACAGATTTCCTCCAACACCTCAGTGACCTGATGAGGGATCAGCGGCTCTCGCCTCAGATATTCTTGGGCAAATGGAGCCTAAATCTTTTAATCTGGCTTGATTCCCCCTCCTCCTCCTGCCCGATCACATTGGCTTATTTTGCTTCTTATCCAGACAACATACACAGCACTCAGTCCTTTTTTATTCCAACAACGATGGATACAGTAGCTGCAGGACGTCACAACAGAATTACAGCGACGAGGAGTCAGTACTAGCAGGATGTTTTTCTTTGCTGATTTTTCTAACATATTGTTGAAATATGGTCAAAGCAACGAAACATATTGTCCTACGGAAAACGTCTTATGGAAAGATCATAAAAAGTTTTATAACCTGTTACTTTCACATCTGTTTTCATGAATATTTTAAATAAAAGGCCACTGAGACATCTTTATCCTAACAAAAGGATATTAGATATCTGGTCTGAGGTTTTAAGTTTTCATTTCTATCCTGAGAAACGTTTAGAGGAATTTTACACGAGTTTATACAAAAGTAGCTTCGCAGTTTGGCTGCAGGCTTTGATGTTGAGAGAGAAAAGACAGCATCAGTGTTTCATATTAGAGGTGTTAATGTTTCTCTCATATGAGCAAAAAACTGTGAGAAAGTCACACACACACACACACACACACACACACACACACACACACACACACACACACACACACACACACACACACACACACACACACACACTGGTGAAGCGAGGCTGCCGAACACAGGGATCACTAGTCCCTCAGAGCACCACCAGCACACAACATGGGTGAAAGTGCCTTGCCCAAGGACACAACATCTGCAACAGAAGGGGCTTGAACCTGCAACCCTTCGGTTACACACTTAACTCCTTTGCTATATGAGATCCAAACATCCCTAAAGAACGTCAGCATCAAAACTCTGGAATAAACAAGAAGTTATGAGTTAGTTGCCAATTTCTCCAAACTTCACACACCAGTAGTTGATAAAACCACCAGTCAACGTGTGTGTGTGTGTGTGTGTGTGTGTGTGTGTGTGTGTGTGTGTGTGTGCATGTGTGTGTGTGTGTGTGTGTGTGTGTGGGCCAGCTGAGACTTATTGTGTCATTGTTAACCTTTTCTCATTTTCTCTCTTCCATCCCTCCTTTTTCTCTGTCTCTTAGCCAACAGCTGCATGCTGTTTTCCTATATTTCTTTTTAATCAACAATATTATTCCCATCTTCAGGCCTCTGGTGGCCTCACCATCTGTCACTTGCGTGAGACAAGAGGAAAGCAATTATTGAATCCTGGCTTTAGGCAGCCCCAGCTTTCACAGAAGTCCCTCATGCTTTTCCATTTGCTTTCCTTTTCAGCTTTCCGTGGTAACAATCCGAGGAGTGAAAGATGTCAGTGAAACCAAAGATCACCGCCGGGTACTAAGAGACGGTGGAAAAACAGTTACTGAGATGATGTGAAATCAGACGTTAAGGTCTTTTCTTCTGCAGAGGAGGAACCGGGTTTATAAATCTCTCGTTGATTGCCACTGAGGGGGAAATATTTTCAACCTTCCTGAGGAGTTCTGTCACAGAAATCACATCACTCCAGTCGTATTCTGTCTAAAGATGTCGTGGAGCCGTGAAAATAGTTTTAAAAATCTATTTTAAGAAAGTTGTCATTTTGTTGGAGAACACAAAAGTGCACAGCTACATGCTCTCACTTTTGCAGACTATGCACTTTACAAATATTAAATCAAATCTTTCCACAAGTGGTTTGCATACCTCAGCGGGGAATACAGGACTAGATGAGCAGAGGTCATTATCTAATAAGGGTGTTATTACATTTACTGACTTCTCCCTCCAACCTTTTGCCACCAACGTCTCCAGAAAGTAATTATTAACAGGCTGTGACAACTTCCACCTCTGTCCTCTGGCTTCCCCGCACGATCAGGAGGCAATTAACAGCTGTTCATTACCGTCAATGGGGAGAAACGAGCTGCTGTGCACATCTGCATGCCTAAATGACACAGACAGATGTGAAAGCCCACACACACACACGTACGTACAGCACACCAGTTGAAAGTGCCGTGACACACTCGGAGGGACACATCAATTGTGTTGGACTTAATGAGGGAACATGCACTCATTCCTCCACCTCACCAGGAGAGCTGTTACCTTTTGGTGCGATAAGATATTAAAAATTCACACTGTTTCTGCAGCGCTTTGACTGCTATGGCAGCATGCTCATTAGCATTTAAATGGGAAAAGATAACTCTGCACTTCTCAGAGTCATACCTCCATCACAAAGCTGCCAGACAGCAGGGAAAAAAATAATAAAATAAACGAGAAGACTAAAACTTTTACTCATTTGAGACAGCTTTTTTATGTATAAATTGAAGAACAAATGACTTAAATTAATTAATCTTCTTATTTGTTTTAGTTTGACGCTAATATTTACTTTCAGCACTGCAAGAAATATGTAAAAAGTATATTTTATTGGTTAAAAAAAGAGAAATCTGAACAAGAAAACGCTGACTTTGGGGTCAGCGTCTTGTTTTTGGAGAGCTTCCAGATGTCTTGTTAATATTATAAGCACATTGCACGTTGGCCTGATAAATACACTAATGTTTGTCTGTTATTCTTTGTTTCTGCCCGCAGGAGAGACTTTCAGCCCGTTTTGTTCGATTTTCACTGAAACCTCACACTGTTTGTGAACCCTGACTATAAAAAGAAGTCAGGATTTTGTTATTTTTCTTGGCCAGACACAATGCTGGTCTAGCTGATTTTAATACCATGTATTGTTGAAACAGCCTCAGTGTTTTTCACAACTGAAATTGTAAGTAGAGGTTAAACCTGTGCCATACATTCTGTTCTTGTCTCTTTCTCAATTATTATTTTTGTACATATACTTGGCCCATTAGATCTCATTGTGTTTGGCTGATTGTAATTTTTCTGCCTGTGTTTGTTGTCAGAGTCTGACTATGACTCAGCTGGAGCTTTGTGGGGCTAAAAATGGGACAGCTGCCTTTTATAAATGACAAAAAAGTTAGTCTCATTGTATCTGGCTGAGATGAATTCTGCCTGGGAACAGAGGGAGGAGGGCAGCTGTGGTGGGATGATTTGGTATGAATTAAAGCTGTTTCCTAACAGGCTCCACGGGGTCTGATTCTGTCCCCTGCTCGCATGCTGGATTATCTCCTCCATTTTCAACCCGAGCAATAGAGTGCATTATGTTATTTTGTCTTATTCTTTCTTGTCTTTTCTAGCTCATGCATTAAATCCCTCCCAAAACAGAAACAGTGGTTTCATATTTAATATAATTTTATGGATGATGGTGCCTGAGTCCTGCCACCTGTGATTGGCTGATAGGGAGGAGACTGTGTAGGAGTTTTTCCCAGGCAGTGTTTGTTGGGGAGAGCTTCCTGAGAGTCTGGTCTGTCCGTGTCGTTCTTCATGAGGCTTCAGCCACACCGCAGGTCTCCGGCTGGAGGGAGATACTGTAGACGGGAGGGGAAATGAGGGGTCTCGTCACTCCACTCAAAAGTGGAGAGCATTAGCCGAACTTGGCCTGCCGCAGTCTGTGGTCTGTCGGGGGAATAGGGAGAATTTTTCCTTTAAAAAATCACAGCACACAAAATTTTTGTAATAAGTATTTTTTGCTCCTAAATGACAGGTTTTTAACAGTCTTTCAGTCTGTGAGTTTTTTCTTTTGATAAAGTGAAACAGATTTTTAAACAAAACTACATATTTATGGAAAGGTAAAGGTGACATTTTATACAAAACTCACCTTTTATATCCTTTTGTTTTGCCATGTGGGTCTCTACTGTCTCTATAAACACCCCACAAGGGTAAAAAAGTCCATCCATCTGTTTTCTGTCAGTGTTTGGTTTTAGGATATGTGCCTAAACCAACTGGTTTAAAAAAATCCCGTTTGTGATGTCACAAATGGAAAAATTAGATTAAATCAACCTATCACATGAAAGAAAGAGCCGCTGGTCCTCCAGCAGCAGCTCTACTCTGAGCCTGACGTTGGAGCTTCTCAGCTTATAGCAGCCTGTGTGGGGGGTGGGTGGGCGTGGCTAGCTCCAGCTTTTTTTCCTAAAGCGACTGAGCCCTGAAATGCCTCATTGTGGAAGGTACTGAAATTTTCAAGACGAAAGCTGCTGAGATCACTTCATGTGAGAGGGATTTAGTGCCAACAGTTTTGTAACGGTGTTTACATCGACCATAGTACTAATATGACTTAATAAAAAAGTCATAATATGTCCCCTTTAATAACAGGTAGGTGTAAAAACTAGAGAATTTCAAGTTAATTCCCAAACAACCACCACCTTCCATGACAAGTCTATCTAAGATTACTTTTTCGTCTTTCCTTCCCATCTGCATCCACTGCTGGTGAACCAGCCATGTCCTTTAGACTTCCTCCCTCCACTCCTCCCCTCTCATCATCCTGTCATCACTTGTTCTGATGAGACCGTGAAACAGGTGGCTCAAGAATTCAACATGACAGGAGAGACAGAGACCGAACTGTGTGTGTGTGTGTGTGTGTGTGTGTGTGTGTGTGTGTGTGTGTGTGTGTGTGTGTGTGTGTGTGTGTGTGAGAGAGAGAGAGAGAAACAGAGAAGAATGTTGCACGTCCTTTAAAGACAGGAGAGGAAAACGAGTGAGGAAGACCACCCAACAATAACAAACTAATCTGGTTATTCCAGACTCTTCTTGCTGCTTTCAGGACACTCTTAGATTAAGTTAAACTTAGCAGAACATGACGAGAAAGAATTTGAGGCTATGGCAGATTGGACCTTTTACAGAACAGACTTTATAAAGTTAATTTGAAACAGATATACTTTTGCAAAGATAATTACTTTATATGAAAAAAGCACTGACTAGATTTGGGCCTTTCTGCAGAAAGACCTAGAATGGTCAAGGACATCTGTTTGTAATACACATCCAGCACCGGCTGTGTTGTAAAGGTTTCAGCTAACTGATGTCTGCAGACAACATCTGAGATCAAGAGCATCACTGAAATGAAGTATTTCTCTACAGCTTAGTCCACAATCTAATTACAGTGGAAATGTTGTTGGAGGGATGTCACAACTGTCGGTGGCTCTCCAGTTAATCCCAGAGGAGAGACACTCGGGCTCATTACCGTCTGTGCTCCCATCAGTGCCCTCTTCTCCAAAAAAACGAGTTACACATCATGTAGCATCAGTAATTCACATCTGAGTAACTTTCATTTGAATCTTCCATAACAAAGTATTCTGCTCAGATTGTTTCATTTTTGCTAAGTTTTTCCAATATCTGCTCAGTTTCTCCAGCTCAGGCCTGCCAATATGCTGACTGTTTTACAGCCAATCTCTGGGGACGGTGTCCAGACTCACACAGCTGTCAGCAATGGGCACATCTGGTTCTCAGACCCACCAAAAAGAAGCAAGATACCTCCAGTTGAACCAGTCGTTCCATCGTTCGTGAGCCAAACTAATTATCTCCTTTATGTGAAGATGCCAACCAGATAATTTATCTCTGCGTTTCTCCCGATTAGCTCCTCTGTCACACGATAGGTCAAGACTTTTTTGTGAGTGTGTGAAACTGTAATTTGTGGAGCGAAAGTTTCTTCATTTGTTGCAGGTAACTCACACCGAGCAGACGTCGTTACTATTATTGTTGTCCACATGGGCTGATCTATGCAAGAGTTGCTGAAAAGAGTGCGAGAGGCAGGACGAGACCATGTGCTTCTCCTTGTGCTGATCTGTATCCTTTAATTGTTTGTGCCTTTGTCAGTTTACTGCTGAGGGTCTCAGCGAGACGCGCTGCTGCTTCAAGTCAAACAAAGCAACAAGCGTGCTTCTTTCTGATCGTATGAAGGATGTCAGCTTGTGCACATAAATTCTTCTACATCACATAAAACTGACTAACTTGCTTTTATCCGTTACACAGCATAAACCTTGTCAGTGTGAGTGTTTCACCCTGACTGTAAAGACACTTTTACAAAGCCGACAGACTCATTTTCATATTCAAATGAGACGTTAGAGAAAGCAACACAGAACTCCGATTGCTGACTCCAACAGGAACGGCTGACAGGCTGGTGTTGAGTTTGACAAGTTAATTCAGTTTTTGTTGGAAAATCTCAACATAATTTTCCTTTCTAAGACGTTTCGATAGACAAGGAGCCACGTCGGGATAACACACAAAGCAGCAACACATGTAGACGGCAACCTGATTGAAACAGAGGAGGCGATCAGTCAGACAGCCCAGGGAGAGGTGGCGCCTGTCATGTGGAATGGATCTCATTAAAAGTACGCCCCAGGTCACACTTTGATGGACGGGGGGGACGTCAGTCATCCGCCAATCAGATTAGCTTAGTCTGAAACCCCGTCCTGACTCTGTGCCCCCTGAGAGCCCACGGCATACCAAGTGGGTCTAACAGCCCCCTCCCCGAGCCCTCGTCAAGCCTCTTGCCAATCACTGAAACAAACGATAGCATCTAACTCATGTCGGAAAGAGACTCACCTGCTGTGATAAGTAGCAGGTGGTTTAAGACCTTTTCATGTGGTTTTTTTTTACATTTTCCCCTGTGTGTCGAGACGCTTTCCTGCCTTAAAGGTCAGGTGTTCTTTCCTGCATGGATCCAAACATTTCCTTAGAGCTTAAAACTCAATTTTGTCAGTGCACACATGAAATATTAATACGAGAGCTTCATTTCTGCACACAGAACTAAATTATTACCTGGTTGAACAAAAACTGGGCATTAAACTGTTCGTGAAAGTTTTTGTTTTTTCACTTTGTTTTAGAGAAAATCATTTATCTGCTTTTTGACTGGAAGATTTTTACTGTGTCACTGATTAACAAAAAAGCAGCAATTTGTGGCCTAAAGTTTTTGATAACAGTTAGGATACGGGGAGAGCCTGCAAGTTTCAAGGCCATTTTCCAGTTTCAGTGTTTTGGACAATATAACGACACTATGAGTTTATGCTCACCGCCCTCGGTTGTTTTGTTTCTAAAAACCTCAGTTTGTCTGTTAGTTTCCATGACAGGAACTTTAAAATAACAATATCCTCAGCTACATAGCGCCACTGCAACAGGAGGAGAACAAAAGGAGAAGAAAAAATGAGAAAATGAGAAGTACAGCAGAAAAAACAATGGAGAGAAAGAAGGTGTCAAAAAGAATAAAAAGAAAAAGAGGATAACAAAGAGAGAACAAGAAATAGAAGATTAAAAAACAAAAAGAGTCAAATATTTCATTCTACAATGATAAGAAAATAAACAAGGAGAAAAAATTAAAAGCAGAGGCAAAGGAAGTACAGGAAGAAGAAGGCACTCGATTTGCCAGTCGATCTACCGCCCAGTCTCACCTGTGGTCATGAGCTTTGGGTAATGACCGAAAGAGCAAGATCGTGGATACAAGCGGCCAAAATGAGTTTCTCTGCGGGGTGGCTGGGCTCAGCCTTAGGGATAGGGTGAGGAGCTCGGACATTCGGGAGAGACTCGGAGTAGAGCCGCTGCTCCTCCATATTGAGAGGAGTCAGTTAAGGTGGTTTGGGCATCTGTTCGGATGCCTCCTGGACCCCTCCCCAAGGAGGTGTTTCACGCATTCCCTGCCAGCAGGAGGCCCCCTGGTCGACCCAGGACACGTTGATGAAAGTATATCTCCGAACTGAACCGGGAACGCCTTGGGGTCCTACCGGAGGAGCTGGTGGAGGAGAAGGAGAAGGAGAAAGAGAAAGAGAAGGAGAAGGAGAAGGAGAAGGAGAAGGAGAAGGAGAAGGAGAAGAAGAAGAAGAAGAAGAAGAAGAAGAAGAAGAAGAAGAAGAAGAAGAAGAAGAAGAAGAAGAAGAAGAAGAAGAAGAAGAAGAATGATAAGAACATCCAGAGTTAACCCACAGACCAGCACTAAAGATCTACAACATCATTTTGCTGCAGATGGAGTCACTGTGCATCGTTCAACTATTCGGAGCACTTTACACAAGGAGATGCTGCACGTGAGAGTGATGCAGAGGAAGCCTTTTCTCCACCCACAGCACAAACAGAGCTGCTTGAGGTATGCTAAAGCACGTTTAGACAAGCCTGCTTCCTTTTGGAATAAGGTGCTGTGGACCAACAAAATCAAAACTGAGTTATCTGGGCATAACAAGGTGCATTATGCATGGAGGGAAAAGAATATAGCATTCCAAGAAAAACACCAGCTACCTATGGTAAAACATGGTGGTGGTTCCATCATGCTGTGGGGCTGTGTGGCCAATGCAGGGACTGAAGTTGAGGGATGCATGGATTCCAGTCATTATCAGCAGATTCTGGAGACCAATGTCCAGGAATCAGTGACAAAGCTGAAGCTGCATCGGGGCTGGATCTTTCAACACGACAACAACCCTAAACACTGCTCAACATCTAATGCAATTTTTAACACATTTTTTTGTTTGTCAGATACTTCTTTCAAATGAAACATTTACACTCAACAAAAATATAAACGCAACACCTTTGTTTCTGCTCTGATTTTTCATGAGATGGACTTAAAAATCTAAATTTCATTCCAGATACACAATATTACAATTTCTCTCAAACATTGTTCACAAATCAGTCTAAATGTGTGATAGTGAGCACTTCTGCTTTGATGTGATAATCCATCCCACCTCACAGGTGTGCCACATCAAGATGCTGATCCGATATCACGAGTAGTGCACAGGTGTACCTTATACAGCCCACAATAAAAGGCCACCCTGGAATGTGCAGTTTTGTCTCACAGCAAAATGCCACAGATGCCACAAGCATTGAAGGAGCATGCAACTGGCATGCAGACAGCATGAATGTCAACCAGATCTGTTGCTCGTGCATTGGATGTTCAGTTCTCCACCATAAGCCATCTCCAAAGGTGTTTCAAAGAATATGGCAGTACATCCAACCGGCCTCACAACCGCAGACAACGTGTAACCACACCAGCCCAGGACCTCCACATCCAGCATGTTCACCTCCAAGATTGTCTGAGACCAGCCACTCAGACAGCTGTTGAAACAATTGGTTTGCATAACCAAACAATTTCTGCACAAACTGTCAGAAACCGTCTCAGGGAAGCTCAACTGCCTGCTCGTCATCCTCATCGGGGTCTTGACCTGACTCCAGCTCGTCGCTGTAACAGACTT